ATTTAATAACCTTTTTTCATGGTACCTTCCACCTGTCCTGAACATATATTAAATAACCTTTGTTAGTGGTACTTTTAAATTGTCTTGAACACATTTAATAACCTTTTTTCATGGTACCTTCCACTTGTTCTGAACACATTAAATAACTTTTGTTAGTGGTACCTTCCACCTATCCTGAACACATTAAATAACCTTTGCTAGTGGTACCTTCCATCTGTCCTGAACACATTAAATAATTTTTGTTAGTGGTACCTTCCACCTGTTCTGAACACACATAAAATACCCTTTTTTCATGGTACCTTCCACCTGTCCTGAACACATTAAATAACCTTTTTTTCATGGTACCTTCCACCTGTTCTGAACACACATTAAATAACCTTTGATAGTGTACCTTCCACCTGTCCTGAACACACATTAAATAACCTTTGTTAGTGGTACCAGCAAAGGTTATTTAATAGATGTTCAGGACAGGTGGAAAGTACCACTAAAGGTTATTTAATGTGTGTTCAGAACAGGTGGAAGGTACCACTAACAAAGGTTATTTAATATATGTTCAGGACAGGTGGAAGGTACCATGAAAAAAGGTTATTTAATGTGTTCAAGACAATTTAAAAGAACACACAGAACCTCTCTTTTGGTAATTACAGAATAAGTGACCTATCTAACAAATTTAAATGTGTCATATTTCACTGTTAATTTATAACCACTACCTCACAATGTGCTGGATAAAGAAGTTAATATACTTTTACAAATATATAAAACAAACAGTTTTAAACAAAGTATCTAGAGTTAAGATTGGTATGGCGGTTTAATAAGTAAAAATAATCTGTCCAAATGTCATCTGTGGAATGTCCAGACATGTTTGGTGTTTACTTACAAAAGTAATCAACTAAACATAGTAATCTAAACTATTTCACTCACAATTTCATTGCTGCTTCTTCTGTGGTTTTATTTCTCCTTTTGGGGTCATAAGTGTAACAGTCAAACACCAAAATAAAAGCTTCTAATACCTAATGAGAGGTAAAATGAGACATGTTTTTGTAACACCCAGGAAGTTATAAGATACAGGCTTCTAATTGAGTTCTGTTACATACCTAATGAAACAGTGAGGTTCTAAGTAACATTATTAAACAACAAGAAAGAATCAAAAATAATTATCTGAAGAAGAAAGATCATTGTTTTTCAGTAGTTACTTGAAAGAAACACTTACAACAAAGTTTGTTGATTTTCTGTCCACTTTTAAACAAAACTAACAAAGGTTATTTAATGTGTGTTTAGGACAGGTGGAAGGTACCACTATCAAAGGTTATTTAATGTGTGTTCAGAGCAGGTGGAAGGTACTACTAGCAAAGGTTATTTAATAGATGTTCAGGACAGGTGGAAAGTACCACTTGGATGAAGAAGTTATATAGTTTACGCACATTGTGAGGTAGTGGTTATAAATTAACAGTGAAATATGACACATTTAAATTTGTTAGATAGGTCACTTATTCTGTAATTACCAAAAGAGAGGTTCTGTGTGTTTGTAAACTATATAACTTCTTTATCCAGCACATTGTGAGGTAGTGGTTATAAATTAACAGTGAAATATGACACATTTAAATTTGTTAGATA